TTAAATCCTGCAACAGTGGCTCGTTATATCAAAGCTTTCAAATGTCATCTTTTTCAGGTCATTCTAGTTCAAATTATGTCTCACGTTTTTCTCATTTGTGTAATTTCTTTCTCCAATCCTTCAGATTGTGAACACTCACCACCACCCAGAGTTCCTCTGTGAGAGTTAACAGGTGTGTGGCAAGGACAGGAGAGCAAGAGCAAGAGCCCCACCCCCCCACCCCTGATATGGAGAAGTGACCAGAAGCCCGACAGGGTGGGGCGAGGTCGACATGCGTTCACTCACTTAACTTCCACAACTACCCCCCAGGTAGGCACTGTTACCGCCTCTACTCTGCAGATGAGGAAACTGAACACAGAAAGGTGTCACAGCTGGTCGGTGGCAGGGCTGGAATCTGAGGCCAACAGGCAGGCCCAGGACCGCGGGCCCTGCTGCATCAGGCTGCCTCCCCCGATGCTGCCCAGTACCAGTGCTGGAGGGAAGCCCCGTGCCTGATCCCAGGAGGAAAGTTTCTCTTTGGTTCCCATCATGTGAACGACAAAGCTTCCCAAGAAGTGCTGGTACAGATTAGTGAAATATTTCACCTTAACAGCTATGATGGTTGGGATGTCCTTTTATGGAGTCACCTTCTCCGAAGGTTCCTTTGTGGACTGTTGTTCCTTTTTATAGCGGCTGAACAATGCAAACGGCATCTGAGGAGGGTTTAGACTTCAGAGGAACGACAAGCCAATTCTGGAAAGCCATCACTAGCACACCATTGAGGATAAATGTGAACACAGGTTTTGAAGACATGCCTTTCAGGCCCTCAAACCGTGAACAGATTACGTGCCGGTCGGTGCGTGTGCTCATCCCCGCCTCTGCCAAACCGCTTGGCGCTCTCTCTCCATGACTTACAGGAGGGTCTGTTTAGATCACACTGGCCTTGCCCACGACCTTGGTGCACAGTCTGGGCTCTTACAGTCAACATGAATTCATGAAGACAAACGTGTCCCTAGGTGAGTAGAGGCCCGTGAGGGATTAACACCACTGGTCTCTGTGCTAAAAGGCTTGGTGGACAGGTCATGGTCTCAGCCTGCTTCAGCATAAACACCTGGCATTTCATCTCAGCACCAGCTGACGACTCTTGGCATACTTTGTGTACTGAGACAATTCTGGGGTAATGCTTCTCTGGGCAAGGGTAGTATCTGAAATCTATTCTGAGCCAAGAAGCAGAGCCCTTGATGGACGAGGGAAAAAAATCTTAAAATTTCCTTTCCATGACCTGGGAAAGAACTGATAATGCCAATTTAGAATCAAGGAAAAAATGTTTTGATTACTCTCTAATAAAAACGGAAAACAAAGCTTAATCTGTTGTTTTCTATAAAAGAAAAGTCTGAGAGATCAAACACCACTCCCAATAGTCTGGAAAGAAGGTAAGATAATTTTCTAATCAAATGCAGAAAACATGTCATTACAATCTAGGGATGTTTAAGCAAAGACGGGACCAGCCTTCTCCACTCAGATCTCAACTGATGAGAGTGATGTGGAATCAGAAAGAGTAATCAGTTAAATCCTTAGCTAACAAGAGAATAATTTTAGGCAACACATTCTAGCTGAACAGTAGCTGGCCTAGGTGGAAATATTTAAAGACCAGCAACAGACCTATCTTCTCTAATAAAAAAAAAGGCATCTGAGGTGAAATTTCAAAAGCAAAGAAATGGTCAAATTTTGAGTCTAGAAGTAAACAGTTTAGTTGTCAGTTTGAGTCATAACTTTAAATGCATATTTTAAGTAACTGAAAATATTTTAACTTTCTACTAATCCACTTAGCACAATTAGAAAATATATATTGAACTTCACATATTGTTAGTTTCACAATGGTCAGATTAACACCATTCCAAATGCCACTTAAATCCTGGCCATTTGTACATGGATTTTGGGGTGCAGTTTCTTGACATATTTTTACTGACAAGCCGTGCAAGTGCAGTTTATTAAACTGACTATGAATATCCTAATAAAAAGGCTAACACGGGCCGGCTCCGTGGCTTAGCGGTTAAGTGCGCGCGCTCTGATGCTGGCGGCCCGGGTTCGGATCCCGGGCGCGCCCCAAGGCACCACTTCTCCGTCCAGCGCGAGGCCGAGTCCCACGTACAGCAACTAGAAGGATGTGAACCTATGACATACGACTATCTGCTGGGGCTTTGGGGGGAAAAAAATGAATAAATAAAATCTTTAAAAAGGCTAACACTATGCCAGGCACAGTTGTGTGTATGTTACAGACATCAAAGGGGCTAGGAGGAGAAGTCTGAACCACAGCCAATCAGGCTCCGTTGCCTCACGACCTTTTGACTTTTTCTTTATTGCAAGCATCTGACAGAAAAAAATTATTCAGATTCTAGAGGACTGGGCTCTCACTGAATTAATTAAACTTAACAAGCACAAAGCAAAGCACAAATTAACTCTACAGAGGGATACTAATCAGAAGTAAATTAAATTAAGATGAAGTGTTGAAAAGGAAAATTGAACAATCTAGTCTTATACCAAACGGCCTGTTACAATAACTTCATAAATAACTGTTCAGGATAATTCTGTGTTTCAGGTGAATTTGTGCTGTGACTATTCTGCATTTTGGCCTCTAGAGTACATGGCATTCTCTGCTGTGTGTACAGACTTTACAGAAGGCAGGTACAAGCAGCCGTGTCCATGCTTAATTCTGTGTGCGGCCCTAAACGGCCAAGTGACAATGCTGTAGGAATGTGGTCTGTGATGCACAGCCTGTGAACCTGCAGGTCCTGCACCAGGTGAAGGCCTGTTCACTCCAACACAACCGTCACCATCCTGCCGACTGGCCTGGACTCCGAGGCGGGCAGATGGACGTGACTCAGAACGATAGTGTATGGGGAGGAGCCGGTTCTCCAGCCGGGGGAGCATTCCAAGCCCTGCAGCTTCCGTCCTCTCCTGGCCCTCCTTCTGCTCCATCACCCAGGCTAAGTGGGTTGCCTCATTTTTTTCTCCAAAAGCCCTCCCACTGTCCTTTGCTACAGATTTTCTCCTCTGAGCTACTTGTGATGTAACCTTTCAATGATTTTACCTCATTGAGAGAACTGGGTGCAGAGAGAGGGGCTGATGGAGGGGGACTTCCTCAGGGCTCTACACACCACTCGGATGGCTATATTTCACAAGTACCATGTAGGTGTGAAAGAAAGATTTTAAACAGTAAGAAGGAACTGCTGCAACAAAAAAACTAAATTTCTTAAGTTTAAGGGAGGAATTCAGTTATTCCTTGAAGAAACTGCCTAGTAAGGCACCGGCTTTACAGCACAAACTGGCAGTTGTAGGTGTGGTTCTGGAGCCACGCTCCTGGGTTCGAATCCTGGCCCTGCCACTCACCAGCTGGGTGAGCTCAGGCGAGTGGCCCAGTCTTCCTGTGCCTCAGTTTCCTCAGATGCCCACTGGAGTTGTGAGAATAAAGTGAGTTAATCTACCTAACACACCTAGGAGAGTGTCAGCTTGGAAAGCAGTCAAGAAATGCTAACCATTTCTGTTACTACAACAAAGCATTTTTATTTACCATCTATACACTGCTTACCTCAAAAGTTAATTACGGTATCATCCCAAAGCAATACATATTAAAGAAAAAATGAGAAAACTAGAAATAAAGGAGGCAAAAATCCATTGAAATGATGAGAGAAGTACTAGCACGGGATACAGGAATGAGTTTTACTGTGCGATGTGACCACTACGACTTGCTGGGTTATATGGTTCTCTCTGTCTGATAAAAGGAAGCACATAGACTGTTCTTAAGAAAAAACGTTTTTAAAGCACTGAATTCCAGGAGTAATTTATTACGTGGATGCTTGAATTGGGAGAATCAAAGAGTAAATCAGTTTCTTCAGTATTAAAAAAGATCAGAGAAGCACAAAACTATAGTGATGGAGAGCAGATGAGTGGTTGCCGGCCTGGGGCTGGTGGTGCGAGGGGCGGGCTGTGACTGTCTTGGGCACCACCAGGGAGGTCTCTGTGGGGATGACAGTTCTGTGTCTTGACTGCCACGGTGGTTACACAAATCCACACGTGACACATGGCACAGAACTATCCACACACCTGCTCCAATGTCAGTGTCCTGGTTTTGACTTTATATGACAGTTGTGCAAGATGTAACCACTGGTGGGAACTGGACCAAGGGTACACGGGACCTCTCCTCACTGTGGTTGCAACCTCCTGGGAATGTATAATTATTTCAAAATAAGAATTTAAAAAAAAGATCAGAAATACTTTTCAAATGGATATCACTTACACCGCCATAAAAATATCATTGCACGGTGGGCTTGAGTTTTTATTTTTCTTTGAAAGAGTTATTTTCCTTAAGATAATTTTAAGTACTTATACTTCCCCTCAGCCACCCCAAAATCTCAAAGAGATCTTGCCATATCCCTCAATGACATAAACCAAAAATTTAAAAAGTTCACGTTTATTTCAGATTTCCATTTCCACCTGTATCCAGGCTGGCATTTCCCAACCAGAAGTGGCGAGCCACTTCTGATCCATGCTCAGCGGTTTCCTCACTATCTCCATCCACGTGGAAGCCAGGCTTTCAGTTCTCAACTCCCTTGATTTATATCAGTATTTCTGGATGACTTTCTGTCACAAGATCTTATTTATGTACAGTGATGCTCTCTCTATCTCTCTCTCTTTTAATGTCAGCTATTCTCTGATGCTGAGCATGTGGAATCTCTAAGACTCTCAAGGAGGCAAGCACTGAGTTTATCTGAATTGATCTGACTGTCTGAGAGGTGGAGGACACAGCTACGGGGGTGTTTCAATGCTCCTGGTAAGACAGGTGCCACTCTAGATTGCGTAACATTACCCAGAGGCGTGTGTGTGTCTACCTTCCCACCTCCCAGGTGATCTATAAACCTGGCAGCTGCCTTTGTTTGCTGTGGTCTGGCCCCTTGTTATCCTGCTTCAAGCACCAGGACCCCTTGGGTTGTTGCTGGGACTGGGGGGATGTGGGCACGCACCTTTCATCTGCACGAAGTCGAGCTGGTGAATGGACTGCAGCAGAGGGCTGTTGTCCAGACTCAAGTCGAAGTCCGTGGTCATCCTGGGAGTGAGCGTGCCTTTCCCCCACTGATCCTCAGTCAGGTGCACTCTCCTTATGAGGGCGTCAGAAATCTAATCACATTAAAGACCACAGCCTAAGAAACACAACACCACACTGGACACAGAACACTGCTCCTTGGCTCTCCCAGAGCGTTACCCAGACCGCCTGCTGACTCACAACCTCCCCATCTCCCTGCAGGCAGTGAGGAGCCTGCTAGGATGAGGGTGGCTCATGATTTATCACTCAAATATGGACACTTTTGTGAGCCAGAGGGGGCACTATAAATAATTAGCAGCCGTTAACTGCTCTAAAGGACAAACCTGGATGTATGATCATGCTGTTCACGACTGATCAACTAAAAGCCAACAACGTTAAATAATATGTCGGCGATTAGTTAATCCAACTAGAACCAACAACCCTAAGTTTCTAACACGAGGTGTGGGTGGCCTGTCAAGATGTGGAAATGAGTTTTATCAAATAGTTTAGAGAGGCTGCATATCACAATCTGTAAAATGGAATTTTTCACACTTTCAGGGCCTCATCTTCATGTGTCACTCTATTCTTTGGTAGAGAACTCTTTCATTACTTATATTTAGTCCCTCCTGTCCAGTTTGGTAGAAGGTGAGATGTAAGGGATTTACATATTCCTTAATAAAAGGTCCCTGATCATTGGGATCAAAACTTAAGTAAAATTCAGCACTCATCATAGCATCCCATTAAAACAATTAGCACTGAAAAAATCATGAAACATCCAAGGAATGAAAAAACTTCACTTTATTTGGGAAATCACTGACTGACTGGCCCGTAAGGGGTGTCAAGAAGGTAGAAACCTTGCATATTAGACATTTCTAGCTGAGAAAACTGTCCAGGAGATATTAGTGGAAAAGGACCCAATTGTTAGGCAAGGCAATAACTCGGCTTTGGAGGAACTTACATGGAATTATGTTTTCATGATTGAACACAAGAACAAAAAAGCCCGTGCACGTCTCAATCTTGTAACACACGGGGGCAAAGACTTCCAGGAAGTCGGTGGAGGTTAGCAGACACCCACACACACACCACAGTGTGAAGGGAGGTTCTGTTATGGAGGGATCCAGGCCCAGCCAGGGCCAGTGGATGTCTGGCCTCGGCCCTGTAGACTTGGTCCCATGGGACACTGAGAATCCAAAGCAGAAACTAACTGATGCTTACCTGCAAAAAGCCACTAGGATCATTTTCCTTAATCACCTCCAGGCAATACTCCATGAGACCCGTGGTCTGGCGCAATTTCACAGTGCAGTGAGAGATCTGATCTCGAACCACCTGGGAGTGAAGAGAGAACAGAACGGTCCAAAATGGCAGAGGGCAGAAAAGAAGCAAAGTGGGACTTTGCAAAGGTTTTTCAAACCAGAATCCAAGAGCATCATGGGATGGAACTAAATTTATGAGAATATTTGTGGCAATGTCTGCTGTGGACAATGGCTCTGGAGGACAGTCTGGACAACGGCTCTTACAGGGACTTATAACAACAGGACCCGTGAGAAAGGCACCAGATGTCGGAACCCTGGGAAGCTGGTTACTTGGGGCCTCAGAGGACACCTTCCACAGGTCCCCCCCACTCCCCTCTTCTGGGAAGCTGACAACCATGAGCTGCTCTAAGCAGGAGGTCGTGGAGAATATGTAAAGGAGCTGAGCAACACAAGGGGCGGCTGCAGCTCCTGCTGGGACACAGTCACCCACCTTCTCCCGCCCTCTGCCTGTCCCTGCTGAGGAGCAGATGTCACCATCCGAACCCAATTCCTTTCTCGTTCTGATTCTCTTTTCTTGGTGGGGTGGGGTGTGGGTAGAAGTGGAACTTGCTGAAAGACAATGAGCTAACGACAAGTAGGCCAGAGAAAGACGGGTGCAGAACTGAGTTTTAAGAATAACCCACTTGGACTCAATCACTGCCTCATTTGGAGAGCAGTTTAAAAGGCAGCTCTGTTTGCCAAGCTGTGAGTCTGCTCTACCCTAGAAAGGCCTCCTCTCAACACGCAGTTTCTGGTTCTGGGAAGCTGTCTCTGCCCAATGTCAAACGCGTGACGGTCCTTGAAAAGTTTCTTTCTTCAGAGATGTTCATCCTGTGTCCTCTGCTCAGTGACCCAAATTCTTATGTGGTTTTTGAAGCACAAAGTTGAACAAGGGTTTTCTAGGAACCTCAGTCACTCACGTCCTTGATATTTATACTACTTTGCAAAGCCTCAAAAATATCCAGTATTCTGAATTTTACAGATAATAACTAAAAGGAGTTTTAATTATAATTTAAAATGTTTCCTTGTTCCTTCTTTTCATTTTTTATTGTAAATTTATTTTTCATTAAAGATTATTATATCCACTTTGCAATACAACTGGAAAATAGATTAAAAAAAACAAATCATCTCATCACTCTAATATAAATTTTTAAAGCATTTGATATTTCCTTTTAGTTTTTTTCCTTGAGCTAGATTTATTTATAGTTGCAATCACAGTATGGGATAATTTTACCCCCTTCTCACTTAACGCTATATCATAGGCATTTTCCATGTTGCCACCATCAATAAATATAACCAGCTACATAAATACCCCACAGACTGCGTTATCATAATTTATTTAACTGTTCCTAGTCCCCTATTTTTAGACATTTAAGTTCTTCCTAATTTATGACAATTCATCCATTCATTATTGCTAGTGTTCATTTCTAATTTTTTTATTGTGATAAAACATACATAACATAAATTTACCATTTTAACTATTTTTAATTGGACAATGCTGTGGCATTGAATACATGCATATTGTTGGGCAACCATCACCACTACCATTTCCAGAACTTTTTCATCCTCCCAAACTGAAACTTTGTACTACCAATACAACAATAACCCCCCATTCCCCCTTGCCCCCAGCCCCTGGCACCCACCATTCTACTTTCTGTCTCTGTGGATTTGACTCTTCTAGGACTCTCATATAAGTGGAATCATACAATATTTGTCCTTTTGTGAGTGGCTTATTTCACTTAGCATAATGTCTTCAAGGTTTATCCATGTTGTATCTTGTGTCAAAATTTCCTTCTTCTTAAGACTAAATAATATTCCATTGTATGTATATACCATATTTTGTTTATCCATTCATCTACCAATGGACACTTGGGTTGCTACCACCTTTTGGCTATTGTGAATAAAGCAGTTATGAACATGGGTATGCAAATATCTGTGTGAGTCCCCATTTCATCTCTTTTGGGTATATACCCTGAAGTGGAACTGCTGGATCATATGGTAATTCTATTTTAATTTTTTGAGAAATCATCATACTGTTTTCCACAGCAGCTGCACCATTTTACATTCCCACCAGCAATGCACAGGGTTCCAATTTCTCCACACTCTCACCAACACTTAGTATTTTCTGCTTTTGTTTTTGTTAATAATTGCCACTCTTAATGGATATGAACTGGTATCTGAGTGTGGTTTTGGTTTTCATTCCCCTAATGACTGATGATGTTGAGCATCTTTTCACGTGCTTATTGGCTATTTGTATATCTTCTTTGAAGAAATGTCTATTCAAGTCCTTTGCCCATTTTTTTTTTTGTGAGGAAGATCAGCCCTGAGCTAACATCTGTTGCCAATCCTCCTCCTTTTTTTTCCCCCAAAGCCCCAGTAGATAGTTGTATGTCACAGCTGCACATCCTTCTAGCTGCTGTATGTGGGACGCAGCCTCAGCACGGCTGGAGAAGTGGTACGTCGGTGCGCGCCCGCGCTCCGAACCCGGGCCACCAGTAGCAGAGCGCGCGCACCTAAACGCTAAGCCACGGGGCCAGTCCCGCCCATTTTTTAATTGAGTTTTTTTGTTGTTGTCTTTTGATATACAAAGTTTATAAATTTTCACGAATTCCAGTTTGTCTATCTTTTCTTTTGTTGCCTGTGCCTTTCATGTCATATCCAAGAAATCATTGCCAAATCCAGTGTCGTCAAGCGTGTGACCTATATTTTCACCTAAGAGTTTTATAGTTTCAGTTCTTACATTTAAGTCTTTGATCCATTTTGAGTCAATTTTTGTGTATGGTGTTGCGTAAGGGTCCAACTTCATTCTTTTGCATGTGGATAGCCAGGTTTCTCAGCATCATTTGTTAAAAAACTGCCCTTTCCTCATTGCATGGCCTTGGAACCCTTGTCAAAAATCATTTGACCATACATGTGAGAGTTTATTCCTGGGATCTCTATGCAATCCCAGTGGTCTATGTGTCTGTCTTTATGCCAGTACTACATTGTTTTGATTATGGTAGCTTTGTAGTAAGTTTTGTGAACAGGAAGTGTGAGGACTCCAATTTTGTCCTTCTTTTTCAAGATTGTTTTGGCTATTTGCAGTCTCCTAATTTTTTGACAAATGATTTGTTATTGCTTTATAACTTTTAATATAATTAAAATAAAAAATAAAATGTAGGATTTAAAATCTCTATTGGAATTGGTGAAAGAAACCAATTTTGATGTGAAGATTATTTGTTTTGCGATTTTGGCGAGGCGAGGGAGATCAAATTTAAAATTCACAGGTTGGTTTCTTTTATTCTGACATCTAGTATGTTTCTGTAAACCACCACCACCACCTGTCAGTCTGGGCTCAAGGAGTGCAAATTATTTTAATTTTTAATCAGAAGGTAAACAGAAGGTTAAGTTTCTGCTTCTCAGGGGAACAAAAATCACCCGTAAGTAAAACATTTAAAAACGCAAGAAGGTGCCCTACAGCTAATATGCTACTCCTCTCCGCTATATGAGGCTTAACTAAATTGTTCCATGAAATGTTTCTGTATTTTGGCAGCCAGTGCACCAACACTGTTAGGTAGCAGAAACCTCAGCAGTCACCACTACCTACCCACATGGCTTCTGCCCTAGGACCATGCATCATTGCCTGCTACTGAGAGTCTGAACAACAGCACAGACCAGATCTGAGCACAGTAACCCAACCCAAAGTGAGTCTGCGTTTGAGGCAAAATAGACTAGATTGTTGTGTTTACTTTCCAGAGCATTCAGCTCAATGATAATTTTATGACCTAAATGTATTGAAATAAATACATTACTCAGGCCTCATAAAATTCTATGTCTGCTTCTATAAATGTCCTTCTCAGGCAAGGTTTATCTGGTGCCAAAGGAGCTGTTCAAGTGTTGGGCTCTCCGGCTACTCCTAAGAAGCTTGACTGTCGCACTGTCAAAGAGTGAGGAGTTTCAGTGGGGGTCTCACGGGCTCCTATATTCCACAGTTCAAGCTTCTTGGAAGGACTCAATATCCCTGGGTTCCTGGCTCTCAACTCCCACTGCTGCCACAATGGATTTTGGTCCATCTTTTTACGTTTTAATCAACCATTTCACAATGACCACAGTAGCCTGTGATAAAATCACTGTTAAAAACTAAACTTCATGGTTCCCAGAAGAAGCATTTTTGGGTGTGTTGTAATTGACTTCTAGTTTCTGAATTAACTTAGCAAGATATCCCATATTATGGAATCAGCCAGTTAATTAGATCTTTTAAGAGTATAAATATTTTTTCTCTAATTGAGTGTTTTTATCAGCTTTCTTACTTGCTGCCTTCTTCATCCTGTGTTATTTCTACCACTTCTTATTAGTATTTATTTCTACATTATATTTTTCATAGAAAACGATTCCTAGGAAGCCAGGCCATGTTGCTTTTTCTTTGAGATCCACATTTCTGTGGTAGCTCTGATGCTCTGGAGAAACCCTTGGCACCATATTTGCAGCTGGCTAAACTCAAGAGTTCTTTTCCTTAGGAAACATGCAAGTTGCAGGAATGACACAAATAGGGACTGGGAAACAATCTTCCTGCATTCATCTGCCTTAAAGCCTAAATCAGCTCTCATGGGACAAGGAATTAATATGTAGTCCAGGGTTTCAGAGAAGGCTTTTCGCATTTTATCAGCAGTCACCATCTGTTCTGGGTGGCAAGTGCCTATCCATCATTCAAACAGTTTTATTTTCTTAAGTGGCAAATTTATAAAGGTCATTTCTTGGGTGAGGATACGACACTGACACCTATTTGGGAAAGGAGAATCTGAGAACGGACCATGGTGTCCCTTTGAATTCTCAGACTTTTTCAGGAGCATAGAGCAACCCACGATAGCTTATACAACACAAATGCAAAATTTTATTCTGCCTACCCACAACTACATTTTCTCATCCCATCGCTAATAGGCCAATCTCCTCCTCCACTCAGCTCATGTGATACAACCAGCAGCAAGAACTGAAGTTAATTAAGGAGAATTTAATTATTTTATCCAATTCTGACCTTGACATCCTTCCTCCACCTCC